AGTCTTTCCTGTACTTTTGCCTCTTCCATAGGGCAAGAAGACTTAGGACCTCAGCACAGCACTTGTGGGAAGCACAAAGGAGAGCTAGAGCAAAATGCTGACTCCTAGGGTGTGCGTACATAGAGATAGTAAACCTGGCTGTAAACTAGCATTTTAACGTTTAATCCAACCATTGTGACTTCGGAGTGTCAGACAAAAGCAGGATGTTTAGACAAGTGTGGAAGCTGTGTGCATGGCAGTTGGGGGAATATAAAAAAATTTTCTTCTGTAGGTACAGTTACATGAGTATTATAATGAAGTAACAGTATGATGATTTTAATAGTTAAAGGTATTACAAAAATTTGCCATTATTTTATAAGAAATTGCATCAGGAGAAATCACATACATGTTTTTTTCACATCACTCTTGTTCCCACCTGGTTTACCACAAATTGACAGGCCCTATCATCCAAGGACATCAGATCCTCCTTGTAGTATCTGGGCTGACCATACTCAATAGTTTTCAGTAGTGTCTTTGCTTTAGGATTTGTGGTCACCCCCGAGTCTCTGAGCGTCCAAAACAGCCTACCTAAGAGAATGCCTCTATAATGTCTGCTGCTCAGTGGCTGGACCCATTCAGTCCCAAGTGCACTGCAATCACACATAGGATGGCTGTTGTTTCTCTTGCAGGTGGAAGTCAAATACACAAATCACATTTTGGATTAATTATCTACGTATGTAGCAAACTGCTATGTATCATCAGAGCTTAACTTAGTGTATTTAATCAACTTTCTCCTGGAAATGTTTTCTATTGATGAGTTTTTGTGAAGCATCACTTTTTGCAAAATTTAACCCCAAAGCATGTTTTAGGTTCTCTTCTCTTCTTGTATACATTTAGTACTTGCATGTAATGTAATGTGATTGCAGTTAAAATAGCACTGCTAGTACAGATTACATCGGAATGGTCATGAGCCCAAGCCTGTGTCTACAGTAAATGTGTGAGTGCTTTGTATGAATTGAATAGTGGTATGCTGCCAAGAGTCTAGGTTATTCCTCCACAGGAAACTGTATTAAAAATACCAATCTCTCAGTACAATCTGGCCCCATTCTGAGAACAAACATAAGCTTTTAAGAGAGGGTAGTGGTAGAAGAAATAGTAGTAGAAGAACGCTAAAGATCCTTCAGCTGTGCTGAGAATTATTTTGGAAAGTTCATCAAAATGCATCAAGAGAAATGGAATGGCTCTTCAACTTCTAAAAAGGAACTTCTGCATTCTCCCAAAGTGCTAGCTTAGTAGCATTACAGCTCTACAACTCTTAACTAAGATCCGCATAATAGGAATTCTTGCTGAATTTGGGGGGTGCAATGTTTACATTAGATGGGTATGCTATTTATTGATGATTCCGATTTTTAGGGGTCTTGTACTTGTAAAAGTTTTATTAGCATAACTCTGTCAGTTAGGAGAACATTTTTATTAACACTGTTATACCAGCACAATTGGTATAGATGCATTCATACCAGACCAAAGCTGACTTACAGCCCCTAGTACATGCTGTACTTTTCAAAAGTATTTCTGTATTCATATGACTGCATCTACTTCAGGATACCTTTTTCTGCTTTAACATATTCCCTGGAATGGAGGTACACATACGCTCTTACCTTGAGTTTCTCAGGAATAATCCTTCTTTCAGTTTATCCCACACCGCCATACCCTTTTGCCAGGTCTGCTGTAAGTTCCCAGCGCCATTTGTTTTCATACACTATGAGGTTTGGAGGAAAAAAAAATTCAGTGTCGGTGCCAGTGCCAAGCTTTCATAATCCCTGCTATTCTTCAGTTAAATCAGTTCCATGGGCTAGCCCACTATGCACCCAAAAAAATTGCTGTGTTAGCCTAGTAAAGACTGCAGTGCAGGTGCAGAAATGAGTAGCCAGGGTTCCCTGAACAATGTTAAGCAGTAGTGTCATTGAATGTTGAATTGCAGGCAGTTACAATCCCTGGCCAAAGACAGACAACACTGCAGTCACAAAAGTAAATTCATAAATTCTAATGCAATTTAAATGACAATTAACAAAATCCCAACAAAATCTTAAATAACCTCAGCCAATTTTATATCAAAGTTAGTAAAACCTGCATACACCTATTTACGGATTCAGCGCTTCAGCTTAGGAAATCGCAAAAATCACCTGGGTCACACTGCAATGTTCGTTTACTATCTTCACCTCCAGTAACTAGTGTCATGACAATTCATCTTCAGAATGAAATGCCAAGGATCCATAATATGACACAGCAGCTGCATATTTAAAAGAAGAAACATGGTGGGAAGCACAAAATCAAATCCTTTTTCTTTCATAATATGGGCCCAAACCTAACCCCATAATTTCAAGAATTGTCTTCCTAATTATCACTACAGCTCAGTTTTTCCCATCTCATTATTTATATTTATACATGAGTACATTTGAGATTTCTATACAAATCATATTCTGAAACATTTCTGTATTTGCCTAAGGTGTAAAATATAATTTGAATTTGTGACTCTCCCCTTCTTTCCTTCTGAGGAAAAAATTGTCAGTCTATTTACAGCTAATCAGATAAAGACATGCTCAGACTTGAAAAAGATTTGTCTAAGGACTACGTAGGGTTTACAGCATGTTAGGGTGGTAGGCTATCATTCTGTGAGACAGTAAATAGCTTGAAGTAATAATTTTGTCCCCAGGAGAGTTCCTATCAGATGAGATATTGTCTGTTTGTACCACTCTAACTTTATGCTGGATCAGGCATAATTTATCCTCCTCAACTGACAGAAAGCTGGCATAAAATCTGAATAAACACTGTAACATATGCTCTGGCTGATTCGATAAAAATGCAGTCGTGTGTTCACGCCAATACAGATCAAATTTTTACTGCCAGGAAATCCGGCATGCACAGATTTTATATTACTTAATGCAGAACCACAGCCTTATACTGCTTCATTTTTTCTGCATATTAATTGATTTTTAATTACTTTATTATGGGCACAAATAAAGAGTACAGGTTTGTTTGAAATCTCCCTGACAAATACTTGTGTGGACTGAGCCTACTGTAGTATAATGGTTCTCCAAACATGATCTCCAGACAGCACGAATGCCTCTTTCATAACACTGGCATGCATGATTTTGTACCTTTATGGTCTAAACAAAAATTAATTTACTCAAGGCAAAAGAGGCTGTAACACCCTGCTGTAAAAAAGATGTTGGACTGGCAGTATGTCTGCACCGCTGGAGATACACTCATGTGCAATGTAGAAATTTTTGTGTTATTTTTCACCTCTTTGCAGCCACTAACAGCACTGGAACAGAGAAAACAGGTTACCCTGATTTTCAATGGGAAATAGTCCTGCACAAGCTTTATGCTGTGTCTGAACTCTCATGCACACCTTGCGCTGCCTGCATAGTTGAATCCCTATTCAGCACGAATTACTAGAAGTACATGGTTGCTGTTACCTTTGGAAGAAAAGTTTAGTGTCTAAAGACTACTTCTGCGAGACTGCACTGAACATAGATGTTAACAGGAAGTTCCCAAATCCTTACTTGTGTTAGAGACAACCTCTCTCTCTGACTCTCTCCCGGCTGTTTCTGTCCAATGCCTCTCCAGCTTCCAATTCTAACAAACTGATTTTTAAATTATAATATTGTATTAGCTTCCTTGGAACGTGGATTTCCCGTTTAGATTCAGCCTAGCCCTGGTCATTATTCAAAATGAAAAGGAGGAGATAGGGGTGCAAAGAGATAAATTATGGATACATACATGCCAAGCCTGCTTTTCCAGTGTCTTGTGTTTTATTTAGTCATACACACCCCTGCTAGGTGAGTGCAAAACACAGGTCAAGGGCTCCTATTTTGATTTGTTAGCATTATACACTTACTTTCAAAAGGTTTTAATAATGAAAGATTTGCAAGGTATTCTAGTCTAACTCACTTGTTGCTACAGTATCTAAAAATTTGCCAGGAATGTGTTGAGGAAGTATGCATTTAACAGGAAGGCGAGCTTTAAAAGACTTCAGTCCCTTCCCACTCAACCTCCCTCTCCTTGTTAGCACAGGCTAGCTTGGCAGGCATGATCCTGCTCATATGATATAGTAGCAACCATGTGACTGAGCAGCTCTGTCACCTTAGTGTAGCTGCACCTGACCCCTGACTGAGTAATGTTACCATCATCTACCATATGTTTGGTGGTCTTTATATCTGTCTCTTCCAAGGGGAGGGATGTAAAACACATGCACTGGAGTGTTTTGCTTACACAGCATTTTGTTTCGTTTGGTGCTATCTCTTTTTCTGGCAGTAGAGAATAAAGGTCCACATCCTTGTAATATATAAATAAAAGATGAATTGGAATGAGAGAACTAGTTAATACTACCCTTCATGAAAATGTTCCTTGTAAAATATAAAGGATCAGGTTCACCTGTTCTAGAGTACTTCAGTAACAATTAAACCTGCCGGCTTAACAGGTTTACAGCTGCTTTTTTACGTGAAGTAGAAACTCTGAATCTAGCTTCAGATACTCTCAGACTGATGTGTATGGTCAAGAAAACATAACCATAACACAAAAATTACATTCCTCTTCTTTCCAGTTGTCCTTCAAATCATTAAATATTTAATGTATTTATTATATGCAAAATAATTACATTGCTCTCATCACAGGATGTTGATTATTACCAAAAGGATATGACTGTCTCTTCTCACATAAGGCTTGCCTTCATAATCTAGCATAGGGAGTACTCCCCCACAAAAAAATCTGGGCCCATAATTTGTCCTCCTGAAAGATCTAACGCTTGCATTAACCAGAAGAAATAGAACTCTAATTCTGAATGTCTTGAGGAATTTGGTCACACCTATGTCAAAAACACTACCTAACAGTGGCAGGCACTGACAAGACACTAGATGAACTGGAACCTTATTCAGAACCAGTGGCATTGCTTGTAATGGGTTAGCAGTTGCTAACATACTTGGGTAAACCTCATTTACCTTCTCCTGACATTATTTCAGAAGCAAGTCCCAGACAATGTGAGGCCTGCACAGAAAAATCAGCTACGATGTTCTTAGCCGCTGCTGAAGTAGAACATGCATTTGGAAGGCAAGACAACAACTCCCTTTTATGCTGCAAACAGTTTAAGCAAGTTTGTGACATCCTTCATTTTGCACCATTACTTGAGAAACTGAAAGTGAGGATTCTGACAAGGTTTGGATCCTGTAAACTTTTGCTATTAGTTGTTTTGAGCTGACTCGCACTTCTGGGAAGCATCCATACCTTTCACAAGAAATCAGGAAGACTAAAATTAGAAAGACTATACATATTCAGATGAGGCTGTTTTAGGGAGTAATTTATTGCTAATATATAGGGTGTTTTTTTGGCTAGAAAAATGCTCTGGAACATGCCACGCACGTATATTATGAAGCTTTATAGAGGCCTGTGGTGCTTATTCTTTAACAAGCTTTAGGTTAGGTGACTATAAATTTGTACAGTTGTATAGTGCCAGATTAATTGTATGGATTGCATGAGATAAGAGTTGATGGCTTTTTTTAATTATATGTCAAATTAAACATAAATCTTCCTGTGCACTTTTCTTGAGCATGGGATGCTGTTGTATCTGATCTTACAGATTGGTTGCTTTACCCTTCTTTAAAACATTCTGGCATAACAGCCATTTCTTTATGACTAAGTGAACAACCAGTGTCTAAATAAACAAACACCTTATATTAATATTAGAAACATAGAAAAGGAAATGTTTAAGAACAATGCTATCAAATCTTCTGTCAGCTAACAAAAAAAAGTTTTTTAACTATCTAGTACAGTTTGGCATACCAAGTGCAAACTAAAGCTAAAGGGAAATCTGTGCAAATAAGCTATATAAATGCACTGTCATAATTTTGATGTGTTCAGTCCTATACTATACAGGCTATTGCTCAGGGACCTCATCATTAGTCTTTGTAGAATCTGTATCTGTACATAAACTTTAGGTGCTGGAAACTATTCATTACCCTTCTAATAAGCGCCTTCTTTCCTCATTTTTTCTCATGCCAACAAGTTGTCAGAGTTTCTTATCCCTTGTTCCTGTTGTACCTGCAGCAAGTCTTAGAATTTGGTGTTCCTCTTTTGTATCTCCACAGCGATGTCATTGGTAATGAGATGCACTTGTTCACTATCTGTAGCAATGGCTTTGCTCAGTCTCCTAACCGTCCCTTCCATACTCAGAGTACCTGCAAAATTAGAGAAAGAGGATCCATTAATCAGAAATTCAAAAGAAAAATGTTGCCTAGCTTCTTTGTGATAAAGGCCCCAGTTTACAAATTTTAACACAATGTCTATGCTGTCTTTCTAAGCAAGGAGGAAGTATTCTGTTCCAGTAGAGGAATTTCTTCAGCCAATGAAAAGAAGATTTTGTAGACCCTGGTGATGATACCACATATCAGCAAATGTGAGTGTTAGTAAGAGAAGTGACATGGCAAAATTCACCTTATTAACTAAACAAATCGACCAAAATTCTGGCTGCATAATAAGTTTGCAAGTATTATTTATTAGAAAGTGGCAAAGGCTACTGATGAGTTGCTGATGTAATTGCTGCTACCTGATAAGTATAATCTGGCTGTATTCTGCAGCTTCCTCCCCTTTCCTCATCAAAAATAGAAAACTAGAAAAAGAAAGGGCAAAAACTGAAAAACATGGACTTTGCCACAGAGGACTTCAGCAATTTACTCCTCACTATGAATGCTTGCCAAAGAACAGGAGCTGCATGTGTGCACAGTTTTCACACACCCCCCTCCAAAAAAACCCCAAAACACTCAGAAGGACAGACTGACTTTTGGTGACTTTCAACCCTGACACATTTTGTCCAATGAAGAGGTCTATTATCAGCAGGCTAAGTTATGCCTTAACTCTATCTCAGTTTCCCATTGTGTGTGAATGATGTAGTTCTACAGATTATGACAGCACACTGAAGAAAAGGCATCTAATTGTATGAATGGTCACGTATGCCTATTTAAAATCATTAAGTTACTACTATGACACATACACACTTAGTTGTGTATTTACCATTTTCCCCCCTCAATAATGATGTGGACTTTGGGATGGAAGAGAGGCAATAAACTTCTGCATAAGCTGCTTAAATGGCTTTTGCCCTTAACAGAAGCCAATCTCTCTAGGAAAACCTGCACTGTAACAGATATGGCTAAAAAAAGGTATATTAGCTTGAAACATTGGTTCCTTCACTTTGATCCTGTGGGGGCACCTGTAAATTCATTGCTGCAATTTCCTAGGATAGCTAGCGACCATTTCTGAAATGAACCCAAAACTGGGGTGTGTAGTCTATTTCCCACCACTACTTATCAAACACAGGTCTGCTTCTACGGTCAGCTACTATGAATCATTGGCTTGTCAAAACAGGGGTTCATTAGCTGTCTCTCTGTACAGTAGCTTGGAATAGACCATAAAAAAAAATGTGATTGAAGACTGAATAGAATATAAAATGCCTCAAAGACTTAATGGAACTGAGCTGGAAAGGCAGGTAAGCAGGACAAAGAGATACAAGAATGTAGAACAGGAGGAATGCCAGTAGTAGCCTGCTTCTGTTTGTGATCTTTAACTCACAGCTAGCAGCGTTGTGTTATTAACGCTAACACTTACAGAGAGAACAGCAGCTGAGGTAGACATCTGTGGACAACCTAGCAGATGATGATTGTGCTGAACCAAGGGAATTACCATAGGAATTTTTAACGTAAGTGATATCACGCTACAGAACAAAATGCACATGTAAACACAGCAGTATCTTATAAAGATAATCCCAAGACAGAGTTAAAATGCAAAAAAAGCATCAACTGAAATTGGGCTAAATCACTACTAGTTTTAAAACTAAATGAAAAGTGTCTATGTTAGTGGTGTTTCCTATGGGGGAAACAAACAAACAAACCAACCAGCCCAGCTCTTTTTAAAACCAAGACAAGGTTACTAGTATTACTAAAGTTGTGAAATTAAAGCCACTGGAAAAGCTCTCATTGACTTCATGGGATTTAATTATATCACTGCACAGATAAACATAATTCAGTTACTTAAGTGCTTGGTTTGCCAGTGTTCTAGTAAAATACACACAGCACAACTCTGCCCAGCATGCAAAAGGTCATACCTGTACGGTCGAGAACTGAGTTGGAAGAATAGAAATAATAACATTATTTTCAATCGCATTAAGGAGTTCAAATTATCTTCTGACTTTAATTCCACATTTTACATACACTATTTCATTATCTATAGTGCCACACACTACTAGTGCTAAGGCAAAAATACCCATATCTGAGCTCATGAACTGCAATTTACCAGCAAACAGTCTACTTCCCAACCCTCCAGACAGGTGTTATCTCCAATCTCCTTGCTACACTCTTATGTCTGTGTAACTTGCTAATTTTGTCTTCTTTGTGTTCCTTTATGGAGACCTGCTAAAGAATATTCTTCTGCAGCTCTTACATAGCGTCCACACTTTCTGCAGACATATCCCACAATACAGTGAGGTTATATAATCTCATGATAGGCCTGGGCATTTGTCCTATAAACATCTACAGTCAAATATGAAAACACAGTTACTTAGTGTAGAAGCATGCCCTATTTATATTGAAAAATCTACCTTCTTCCTTACAGATGGCTATGCCCAAAGGCCTGCCTGGGTACCTTCTCTGCTGTTTCACTACAGACTAATTATTGCAGTTCTGAAGTTACCGTTTGAAAACAGCCACATACGTACCTTTGCAAATATCCCAAATAAGTTGTTTTGTTAAAAACCTGCCTTTGCAAATGCACTGGCATATGTTTTTTGAAAACGTATCTCTAGAATACAAGTCAGTAATTTACTTGACCAGATTTGGAATAATATACACCAGAGCCACTGTGAGACCAAGAGCTGAGAGCTGGAGAAACCTGAGCTTTCCATCTTTGAAGGAAAGCTGCTCTCAGCTCCTACACCAAGCTGAGTTCCAGCTGCAGCAAATCCACCTCTGGCTCTGCAGCAAGGCACCACCAGTTACTCACCTGGTCAGCACTTGACTGGTGCTCACGGGTTTCCGCTGGTCCCAGTCTGGACTAGGGAGAGAGACTTTTCTGTGAAGCACACCATTAGACAGAGTAACTTTATAATGGATGAACAACATCAAACTGTTTTGTTAGAGATTTAACTTAATCTATTTCTGTGACGTTATGATCAGGCACTTCAGGTATCACACCATTTACAAAGACTAAGAAATAACAGTAGACTTTTTACCAATGAAAAATTGAGCCCCATACCAGCAGCTACGGAGAATATTAACTCTGTCCCAGCCAAAACCAGCACAATGTGTCGATATGAATTTCACTATAAGGCTATTCATACTATATTTTCAAATTTTTGAAAGAAATTTCTGAATAACTGGTATGCGTTCAGCATCCCTTCACTAAAAGACCCTATGACATGATATTAAAAAATTTTAGATAGGTCTACATGTAGCACTTAAATATGAAATAAAGGTGTGCTAAGGAATGTAAGCAGATACTACTTTGAAATAAGACATCAAGCATTGCATTGACCTCAACAGTAAGCATTTCCAAGCTGTATCAGCTTAAAACAAAATCATCAGTGCATCCCATACATTAACCTGGGTTTAAAAATATCCAAAATCAATGGAGCTCATTGATTGTTCTATTATTCCAAATTTACTGAGACATCCCCACATTCCTTCCCACACAGTTCACCTCCTAATCTGTCCTGATCATAGCCTGTCTTTGCGTGACATGTTTCTTCAGCTTCAAAATCAATGGAAAATAAACTTCAGCCATGATAGTGGCTAGTATCAGAGTTCAATTTCTGTTTGTAAAGTTGTGCTCGCATTGTGCTTTTCACTGAGTTCAGTCTTCTTTCCAGAGACTGTAATAAGCAGTGTTTGAAAAGAAAAAGTGAAGAACATAACTCTGAGTTGAGGCATTCACCTCCTAATGGAAAAGTCATCCAGAAGCATCCTACCTGCTTCTCTCTAAAAAAAAAAGTTAGAGAACTATTTCATATTTGGAGCAAACAAAGTAGGTGGCAACTGATCTATTTGTGAAATTCTCAGGACAAAGGTGCAATAGTCAGCCATAGTATATCTGACACATTATAACACAGAAGCCTCTATTCTGAAGAAGAAAATGTATACTGATGTAAAAAAATATTGAACATATAACACCAGTGAGCAAATAACTTTAAAAGATACTACTGTTTTTTCCTTGTTGCTAGAACAAATCATGTAAGGTATGGCAGAGAGACTACTATGAAAGTTAATGGCTATTAACCTCCAAGAACTAGAGGATAAACAAGTAACAACAGATGAGATTGCATATGAATATAGCAATAAATTATTCATTTTCTAGGTATTCTTCAAATTGTTAGGTAAAAAAACCCTATAAATCTAAATAATTATTCAAGAACAACAAAAGCTATAACATATGTAATTAGAAACTTGGTAATATTCTTTCCTATATGTTTTTTCAGGGCTCACTAAGCTCTTTATGGGAAACTGTGATATGCAAGTATTACTACTTTGTTTGCTCTTCAGATCAAATCCATATGAATGAATTAGCTGTGCATTAATTTCAGAATTTGAAAATTCTGACTTTTTTTCCACAGGTAACCCAGAACACCTGATTTTCCTTTCACTCCTCTAATCATATTGCTGTAATTACTCCACTGACACAATTATATACATTAGCAATACCTGGGCTCCCCAGCCATGGATCAGGATCTATGGCAGCTGGCTGCCAATTAGATCAAAGTAAGATTTGTTCACACCAAAAGAACCACCAAGAAGTGCAG